GGATTGACGTCTTAAATCATCCTTATCACCCCGAAACGTTTATATGCTAGTTCTAATATCGTAGTTAAACGCTTAGAATCCTAAACACATAAGGTTTCCAGATCCGGTCGGCAACAGACCATAGATCCGAACAAATCATATCATGCGCAAAGCATTTAGCACATAAAAGCAATTTAGGCATTATTCCTAAAATAAGCTAGTGCTCACACCTCACAATCATCGCTTAGCATTCTAAGTTTAAGTCTAGAAATAAATCCATATTCCTAGTTCTCTTAAACTAATGCTCTGATACCAACTGTGACATCCCCAAAATCACGGCCAGAAAAGACCGATTTTGTTTATGCTTTATAAAAATCAGAGTACTTCATTTTATAAAAAGGTTGCGGAATTTGTTCCCAGAAAAACATGGTAAATACGTTATTAAAACATTTTCGAAGAAACGTATTTATTTCATTTTAAAATGTTTGGGATGTCATCGTTAATACCGAAACATAAGCATAAACAGAACTTACAATGATTTACACTAGTGATCTACATCTCTTTTAAATCTCTCAGTGTAATGTCACTTCACTTCGTCACCTGTGATATACATAAACTGAGTGGGTCAGGTTGGGAAACCTGGTGAGTACATAGGGTTTTCAACCCACAATAATATAATTACTATGTTCAATCAAACAATCAACCCAATTACCCATCCCCATTATCTTCTTTACTCTTTAAGGATTTAACCTAAGAGTCATCTATCCTGCATTCGTTTATTCCGAAGTCCCTTACCTCCAGGGTTATAGGACTGACACTAAATCCATAGCTGCCAATGTTCGTTCATAAAGCACTAATTCCATAGCTGCTATGGTCTATTCATCAGGTACTAAATCCATAGCTACCAGTCTTTATCTAATAGGTACTAAGTCCATAGCTACCAATTCCCAACAGGTACTAAATCCATAGCTACCAATGTTTAACAGGTACTAAGTCCATAGCTACCAGTGTTTGTCCCATAGACACTAAGTCTATAGCTGCCAATGTATCATCTTCTATCTCTCATCATTCATCTACCCATCTCATACCCAACATATTCGTATATATAAAATACGTATACAGCTTAAATTCTTTAAAACATGTATAAAACGTTCATCCAGCATAGACAGCAAGTATTCAGATAATATGCACACATAGCACGTAGTTTATATAAAATACTTCATATCTATGTGTAAGATGAAAGGGACTATGCACTCACCTGAGAAGGTGGTGACTCGGTACTCGGACAGCGCTTCGTTTACTTTAAAATAATTTCCTTTGACGAAACCTAATATTATCACCACTAGATTTTAGTCTAATATTACCGTCACTAATTATTAGTCTTATTATTATTATTATATAAGCGTTTAAACAATACTTTCCAACTACTATGTACAGACAGGGGCCAGACATAAAACACCGGAGGGCAGGACCATTTTGGCGTATAGCACTTCTGAAATCCAACAACCCTATGCGGCCCTTTAAACCAGATTCCCCGTACCGCGAGTAGTTAAAAGATATTATAACGACACTTATATAAGTCATAATAATAGCTCAAATATTTATTATAAATTTATAATAACAATACTAATTTTAAATATAAACTATATTTAAAATAGGGTAAGCATAACTTACTTTCAAGGGGATTTTAGCTAGGAGTCGGGCTCTGCAGGGGCAGAACTTCGTCGCTGAATCTTTCTAAGAAAGATTCGTGCAGCGCTTCAGCGCTCACCTTACTATACTAAAACTACAGAAAGAGAAGTCGAATCACGAGGGACCGAAATGCTCGGGGGATAAGGAGAGAAAGACTCTTGAATCAAGAGAATGGTGCAAGAAATATGAGAGCCCAAGGCTCTTATTTATACTAATTGAATTTTCAAAAACTACCCTCCATAATTACTTAATGACCTTTTAGTTATATAAACAACTAAACACCCCTCTATAATACTATTTTAAATGGATTTAATGATATTTGTACTAAACTAATGTCGAAAGAACTCAACATTAGTCTTATAATGACCGCATCGTCGATACCTTTCTAATGATATATACATATGTATATATATGTGTACGTATACATGATTTATACTTTATTTTAATACGTAAATATGCTATTATAATTTGTAACTCGTTCATACGAACTCCGTTTTTGACGTTCTTTATATCCACGCGTAGGTGGAGACGTACTCTACAACTTTCGTTTAGACTCCGTCGGCTAATTTTGACTTTATTTTTAAAGTTATATTTTTAACAGGCCGGGACAGGATTGGTCCGTTAAAATCTCATAACTTCTTTATCCGATGTCCATTTTCGTCTGTCTTTTTATCGTTACGCTACTAATAACGAGATCTTCGATTCTTGTTTAGGTTGTGTCGGCTAAAAATCAATCGATCTAAAATTCGAATTTCGGGCTGTACACCGCTAATCCGAAACTTCGAAAAATCATAACTTCTGCATACGAAGTCAGATTTGGGCGTTCTTTTTATCGATGTTCTTAGTTTAACATATTCTACGACTTTTGTTTAGAGCACTAAGGCTAAATCTCTCTCTATCATAAATTTACTATTTACGCTTCCCGGCGCCGTGCCGGTTCCGATGCGAAACTTCGACGAGTCATAACTTCTTCGTTATAACTCGGATTTCGGCGTTCTTTATATGTAAGGAAACTTTGTGACATATTCTACAACTTGGTTAAGATTATTTATTCTAAATAATCTTTTTGTCGAAAAGTCATTTTTGACCCTTATTGCCTTTAAATTGACTAGCCCGGATCTGCGGGCGTTACACACCAAGTGTAGGCGATGTAGTAAAAAAATCAAACACTTTTGAATAAGTTAAAACAAAAAGTAAAAATTATAAAACAAATAGAAAGAAACAATACCTGCATGAAGCTCAAGCTGTTGCTTCCATTCTCCAGTATTAATGTCTAAAAGAATTCCTTTCACAGAGACCAAACTTTTACCAATTATCCAGACAAACATAATTACCCATTCATCCAATACAAGAGTTAATGGATGAGGGGTAAAAAAGGCACTTACCATTTTCTCCAAATATCATGGGCCTTACCATCTCCACTGCATGGAACATCACACAACACACGATCAAATAAAAGTTCAGTCATACTCATACCACCCAAATCAGAACCATTTGTTGTATGGTACATACTGTATAATATGGACCTGATGAAGAATCTTGATGTTCATCTTTGACTTTCAACAAGTGTAAATTCATCTTCATTGTTAGATCCCCTTCACAAGATTTAACGAGATATAGTTATAAGTACAACAATCACAAACTACATGCAGAAAAAGTGATCATCTTTTTAATTTACAAACCTTTCCTCCACAACTTCATGCCCCTTAGTCTCCATCTACAAGGTTGAACAATGTTTGCTAAGATAATAACTACAACTAACCATCCCATATATTGTGACCTTTGTTTCCAACAAAGCTCCATGAATAACAAGATCAGTTACATTCGTTTCAGGTTCAGAAGTCTCTACAAGAATATCACCAACACCCTCTCTCGCCTTGTTTTGCAAGCATATCAACTGATGGAGTATCCTACACTATGTACATTAAGCATCATAACTTATAGCTAAACAAGATGATATTAAAATGCATCAAATATGAAAAAGTTAGCATCATACAGAAGCTTGGTAGGTTGTTGTAACTTGTTGTTTAGTGCGGGGTCCAATGGGTTTGGTTGTGAAAGTGAATAGTCCATGAGGGAGATGAATGACATTATTGCATTTGCTTGTGAACCAATATAAGAAATGATTTGTGATGATCTTAAAATTGAGATTTCAGTTCAACAAACCAGATTAAAACCATATTATGTTGCTAAGTTTCTACTTTACAACCAACGTACTGGAAGACTCTAAAGCCTTAAAAATAATTTTAAATCAAAAACTTAATTCAATTTGATTAAAATACAATTTTTTATATTCTTTTATCGTATTATAATATTAGTTACAACTTAGTATAAAAATTATTATTTCAATGATAAATACTTATAATACTGTTTTTATAGCATATAATTGTTATTATTTATATTACATTATTAGATACAAATCAAGAGTTTAAAACTCCCACTATAAGTCAATAGTTCTTTTTTATTAAAATGTAATTATGATTTCAAATTTAATGTAATTTGTCTTTATGTTTTCTACTACATTAAAAAGTTTTATAAACTTATGATTATTAATGTGCAATGTTTTTATTTTGCACTTATTTATTTTACATGTTGTAGCTATATTAGTAGTATATAAGTAAGTTTTCATTAAAAAAAATCACATTTTTGAAGAAATTTGTGATTCAAAATGAAAAGAGTTGAAAAAAATTTATTGTATCAATGGTTATTTCAACATAAATGTTTTATAATAATGTTTATATATATCAAATGTATGTTGATTTCTAAATATTCATTTTGAATGATTTATAAGTGTTTAATAAGTTTTGGTTGATGTAAATGTTTCATTGTTATAGTGCTTTTATTTTATTAAAAGCTATAGTGTTTTTAATATTATTTGTTATTTATTTTTTATACAAACCGACATACATTTTATATATAATTTTTACAACTTAAAATATTCTATAAAACTATCAAAAGTTGTAGTAGTTATTTTTTCATACTACTTTGTTTTTTTTATACATAGGAATCAACATATGTTTGATATATAATTTACATAACATAAAATGGTTTATAAAATCATAAATTAATAGGAGAAATAAGTAATGATATAAATATATTAAAACTAATATATTAACTATAAAGTTTGTTTTGCTGTTGAGATTGGTTTTACATGTATAAATATTAAATCAGAATTTGTTAAAACTTATTATTGTAATTAAATAATTATATTCACTTGCAACACGCGGGGATTCGAGTAATATATATATATATATATATATATATATATATATATATATATATATATATATATATATATATATATATATATATATATACCTTGATTAGGGTCATAAAACCACCGCAACTGTCTTTCCATCCGGGAAGAAAATGGAAAACTCTTTAAAGATAAGAACATCCGGCTTTGAAGGGTAACTAAAAGACACCACCTTAAATTCAATATTCACGTTGACCTCGGTCAAACATTTCCCATCTGTAGAGTCTTAAACTATAGTCGATTTTTGCTTAATAATTCCCAATAATTTATATCCAGCAGCTTTCCCTTTGCTGAATGCTCCAAGATTCGAAAACGACTGATCCAAAATCTTGTTGTGATTATTTTAATTAAATTTGTGAAGAAACAGAATTACTGTTATTATTATTAAAAAAAAACTTACATTCCACCAACAATCGCAGAGAAGATTGGTGTAAATGCTTTTCCACCATCTGTCTGCCCATTCCTAATAAATACACCCGCATACCAAAACACAAGTGCCCATGACATGCATGCGATTCCATATGTGCATCCCAATCCCAATCCTTTTGCCATTCCTGCTTTGTTCCCAATTTGAGAGTGTGTTGTATTGCATCTGAATATGAATCGAGTACTTTGGTTTCTCCCACATATGAATACACTATTTTTACTTGTGCAATAGCCTGTTAATTAATAACAATATATAGTCGATTAATATATGATCATATAAAGTAAGTGATTAATTTATTAAGATTTAAGATTTAAGATTAGCCGATTACCTGTTCAGCGATGATGCCAGCATTGGCATAGGATTCACGGCTTTTGGAAGTGAGACCTGTAAGAGTATAAGTGTATAATCCACCTGCAAATGCGATTCCGGGAATGACTGTGACACTATGAAGAGCTAGCTTTCGTGCGGAAACGAAACCAACCACTAATCCAGCCAAAAATTTCGAGAGATAATGGATAAAGTTTCCCACCTAATGAAAGGGGAACATGTAGGTTTTGTTATCGAGATAGATGATTCAAAGTATGCTAATATGATTTTGACTAGATAAACATCATACAACATTTCATTATAAAGAAATATACAAATCAACAGTAAATATTAATTAGCAAAAACAAAAACAAAAAAAGTCGAAAATACCCTTTCGGTTAACAAGAGAGTTCGTCATTCCAAAAACAGATGGAGAATAAGAGAACATTCTCCGTAAAAGAATCTTTAAAAATTGAATGTAAGAGAAAGAAATCTAGGGAACATACATGAAGAAGAAGAAGAAGAAGAAGAAGAAGAAGAGAACAACCTTCGAACGTGATGCCTCCTCCGTTTTTGTTTTCTACATTTTGATGCTTCCGATCGTACCTTGAACCTCTGACTTTCGATCCTAAATCTGACTTGCAACCTTCGATTTCTGATCTTCAACCTCTAATTCGAGTCATATAATTTCAAATCTTAGAAAATTGACCTTGCTACCTCCTATTTATGATGAAAGAGGAGTCTCAAATCTAAGAGAAAAATGAGGAGTTGTTGGCTCTAAATGGATTAGGGTAGAGAGGAGGTAAAGCAGGGCAATCTATACTGATTTCGATTAAGAGTGTAAGAAATTTTTGGAACTGAGGATTAGGTTTTTGGTGGAGGTGATCGATCGGGGAATTGAAGAAGCTACAAATAAGACGAAGTCCCTAGGGCTTTTTCTTACTAATTAGAAGAGGCGGGGTTTTAACTTTTGGGAAAATAGGCAGGGGTTAATTTTTGGTGATTTCATTTTCCTACTTAAAACGCGCATTTCAATAAAAAATTATCAAGCAAATTATAAAGCGACACACTCACATGACACAAATTTTATGTTAGGCGCTCTCCATATTCATTTTTTTTTAATTTTATGACACTAATTTTAGGGCACGCACAAATGCGCGTACTAAATCCTTTAAATTTTAGGAGAGATCACGTTATTTTTACGTCACACACTTGTTCGTATCGTAAATTTGTGCGTGTCTTAAATTGCATGTCATTAAAGGCTTATTTTCTAGTAGTGAATAGGGTACAAATCCTGAAACTTAGGGTTTTCCTTTCCAGTATCTACTCGTCGAGTTGGGGCCTTTAAAATCGTCAAGTAGACCCTTCATTATGCGTCGAAAATGTACTCTACTTGACGAGTTGGAACTCCCCAACTCATCGAGTTCTAGCCCAAAAGTCTAAAAATGCTGAAAACTGATGCATCGCCAAACACTTCCATGGCTGGTACATAGTATGCACTATGAATTAATATAAGCTTCCGCAATAGTCCTACACGATGCATCGCCTTGCCCAACCGGGCCAAATTCTGACTGAATCATAATACCTGGCCTTCAGCCCTGCTTCTCGAACTGGGTGTCACCCCTTAAGTCGAAGCCCTGAGAGTACTTCAACCTCGATAAAACTTGGGTATCTAACTCTTAGCAATAAATTGGAAAACCATTCTGAATCCAACAAATACCGACACCTGACGTCTCGAGAGACACAATTGTCACCCCGATTATTCAATGGCCTTTCAAAAGGCAACATGACCCAACCACACCATACCCTCTCCGATTCCGATTATCTTGGTGTTACCAATTGAATAAATTCAATTACCATAACTGGATGTCGAACACCTACATTCGGGATACCATATTCCTGGTCAGTTGCTGAGCCGACTAGCAACCTCACACTCGCCCCACACGATCTCCGAAAGAGACATCGTCTAGCAATAATTGTCTTAGCTATACCACCACTCATGGCTCCATCAATCTTTCTGACACCCAATCATGATAGCCTGACAACTTGTCGCCACAGAATCTAATACGAAAGGTGATTGCTACCAGAACCACTGTAGTCTTACATCGCTCCTGGTCTCCATCGACCCATCTTTTCCTCACTTATGGCTCTTTCACGGATAAGGCCAACCCAAGACACATCACAATAACTCGACCTAATATCAACTAAGTCCACCCATTACCCTTGGACCTCATAATTATCTCCCTTGGCATATAGATACCCCAATTCTCATCCCACTGAAACGAAATCTTTTACTGAACACACACGAACTCTGATTCGGGATCTTTCCCAAAGCGAATCGATATTCCGATCCTACCTCGAGATCCACGAATCTACATTTGTGTAATGCACCATAACTTCCAACATCTCTTACTTGAATAATAAACAAATACCCATAGCTGATCCCCGACACTACCAGTTTCACACCTAGTCCAACTACCAGGTTCCCAAGAAATCAAATATCAGGACTACCCAACCATAGCGCTAATGTGTCACGTACTACTTATCCACATGATCCTGTAACTAAAGATCCAAACCCTTGACTCAACAATCTCTATCAGTTCCATCCTGAATTTTTATAACCATCAAATGTTGAGCCATCAACCACAATACAACTAGAGGCAAGTAATACCATTGTACTTTTCAAGATTATTTTTGATTTTTATAAATTGTAGACTAAATTACATTTTTGATCCCTCTTTGTAGTTGCTTTTTTAGATTCAGGTCCAAAAAGTTTTTATATTTTATTTTGTTACATATTGTAATATAGACAAGTATCAACAAATGTTATGGGAGTATGTAAACTTTATCTAACATAAAGAACTCATCATCAAATTGTTTGAGAAAACAAAATTTCAATTTATGAAATAGTTTTTTAATGTACAATATATAACTGCTTAACGTGGAAAATAATAACGTGCTTAAAATTTCAAAAGAAAACAAGCAAACAAAATAATCCTTTAACAATAATACCTTTTATAACTTTGTTACAATCTATGCAACTATACAAACTTCAGGAAAAGATCGATATATTACAACACATAAATTACACAAATTGATAACAAACTTTAACTTACATTATCAGAACAAACAAACGAAAAAAAAAAGACACTACTACAAAATATAACAGCATCCCAACATGTTTAAATCAAAAAAATTGAACTCATTTGAAATCATTTAAGACCATATAATGATACATCATTTTTTTAATTTCTATAATTACATTTTATGGATCATGCTTAGTACGGCCTTTTAAAATTCACTAATTATTCTATCTCCTTATACTAATAAAAGAGTACTTTTTTTGTCATTTATCACCGTATTAATCGTCCTAATTAATATCATGCCACTTGTCAAATATTGATTCTCCATTTTAAATCTCTGACGCTAATTACATTAAATTAATAACATTATAATATAAAATAAAATTAAATTAATACACATTATAAAGTGATGTATTTTCACGTATTCATTTGAATCATTGATTATAATTATATATAACTAAAAAATATCTTTTAATTAATAATTTATTTAAAATAAATGATTAATAATTTTAAGTTTTTACGATAATAATTTAACTAATTTTGTAACTGTTGTTTCTATGAGTTATATATATATATATATATATATATATATATATATATATATATATATATATATATTATATATATATATATATATATATATATATATATATATATATATACACACGGACTTATTGGGTTAAGTGAGAAGATATGTATAAATCATTAAAGTGTGCTTAAACCATTTTCCATTATTATTATTTAATGTTGTTATATATAACTTTATTTTATAATATTTTCTACTTTAACGATTATTATATATTTAGTATGTCATATATTAACATATGATGCAAATAATTTAATAAACTTTTACTATTCATTCAAGATTTCAAGTTGCAACTATATAAACAGTCTAAGAAATGGGCCTCGGGGTTAGAAAGGCCCATCAAAATATTCATTTCTTAACATCAGGAAAGTTGGAAACACTTTCGTAGTATTTGGTATTGTTTAAAAGAAAGACAAATGATAAGGTAAAGACTAAAGACAAATATTTCATCTTTCACTAACATTCATAATTTCTTTATACAATCATTTGGAGATTTATTTTAAACAAATCTTTTTAATCCAAAAGTTACTTGATAGATTTTAACTTAGGGTGTTATTATATATACCTTTCACTCACATAAATCTTCATATTATGGGATACACATACACTATTACATTCAAATAGAGGATACACAAAATAATTAGAGAGTACGTATAGAATTTCCTTTAGCTTATAACTTTGATTTTTTATGTTATTTTAAAAGTTTACGGCTATATTTTATGAATGCTTATACACCAATAAAAATTATAATTTTCAGCAAACAACTAACAACTTCCATTACTAGCTAGTTTCGACAAATGTAAGTAATAACTCTTAAATTAGGGGTTTTAAAGAGACGGTTTGGTTCGGACAGAAATAAGATTGATAACCACGATACGGTTTTCGGGTACTTGTTGAAAAATCAAATACAATCAAAACTATAAATTAAATTCTAATGATTTCTTTCTGAAAATTAGTAAGTCTAGGAGTTATAAAAACATAATGATGCTTAAAGAACACACATTATAACTAAAACAAATTTAAAAGACCAAAACAAGATCGAAAACAATCATCAAATATATATATATATATATATATATATATATATATATATATATATATATACTTAAAAGTGTTACAAGGATAATGAAAGATTGACTTTTTATGTGTATTTTAAAACTCTTGATAATTTTGTCATACATCTATCTAAGTTATCATCAATCCTTCATTTGAGGAAAAATATGAAATTTCAAAGAGTTAGGATATGTATCTACTTGCATGTTTTATAAACTCAAGTATAATGAATTTCATAGAAATTTCGGAAACTTGTATAATTTGTTGACCAAACTTCTTATATAAGTGAGGGTGATATTCTTATAAATGGGTAAAGAAAAGAGAATGTAGAAATTTACAAAGCTTGATATGTAAATAGAGTCCTTTAATACATATTTATATTGAAAAATATAAAAGATTTTTCTTTTTCCAATATGGGAGAAGCTTGAAAAACAATATCAATGATTGTTCCATGATTACTATCCTGTGAAAAATCAAATTATTCAAGTTGATAATTTTCTTACTAAACAAGTTTTACTTTTTCATCATCTACAACCATATGGATTTGTATCTAATGGAACATCATATACCTACTGCAAGTAAGTTGTTTTTTTCTTGTGGGTTCACTAAAAGTAATACGGCCATTGCCTGCGACACCAAGCAACGACATATCCGCTAAAGGTAAGTATCGCCGCTATTGATGTCGTTGGTGATGGTCAGTGACACCAATCCCCCTTTTAAACTACAGTCGTTGGATCACGCTTCTAATTCAATGGTTGGGATACTCTTTGAACGCATAAAAACAATCCGCTTACCAGCGACTAATTGGCTTTTTTCTTGTAGTGGTTCAAGTTATTTACATAAAATGACTGTTTTTTTTTTTTAATTGTTTTCCTGACTTTATTACTCTTGTAGTTTAGCATAATGCGCATCGAGTTAATGATGGAATAAAAAATAGACGTGAGTTTTAATCATTCTGAAGTATGTCTTACCCCCTATTTATGTGGTAACCATGTTGCAATTTGAGGCTCTTATTGTTATGTCATTTCAAACAATAAATCGGCATACTGGAAGCAAAACTTATTTCATGTTGGTTTTTTTCTATTTTTTAAATCCCAACTATGAAAATTTCCTGTTGATCTTGCTGGGAAAACATGGTGAGAAATTGATTTCCGAAATTATGTGAAAATAGTACCGATCTTGCATTGGTTACTAAAATAAAAACATTTACTGTAAGGTTTTATGCAAATCGATCTATAAGTGTGTATTAGTTATGTCAATATACCTTATTAACTGTAATAATATTTTGGTTTTTACTGCATTAACTCATAAACACTTTAATGGTCCTTATAATTTACGTTTGAAATTACATTGATAGTTATAAGTATTTTTCCTTTAACCATATTCATTTGAAACTTTCATGCATTTTTTTCTTTCACCACATTCATTTGAAACTCTCATGACTTTTCAATTTCTTTCAAATAATAATTACAAGTTGTTTAATAAAGTTAAATAAATATCAAACCTAAAGTGTAATCATATATAAATTAAATTCCAATATTAAAATAATATATTTACTTCTACTTATAAAGTTATGTTTGTTAACTTTTAGCATATTATAATTAATTTATTAGTTTTAATATATTGTTGGATATAAACCATTATCATTTTAAAGATACAATTTTGGAACAATTTGTATAAAATATTTAAATTATTAATTTATGCATAACATTAGAGAGTCAACTTATATATAAATTTTAGTTTAACTTGAACAAACCAAAAAATATTTTGTAAATAGTTAAAAGTGATCAAATGTAATGTCTTTCTAATAATGATTATAAGTTGATTAATAAGGTTAAATAAATATCAAACCTGAAGTATAATCACAAATAAATTAAATTTTAATTTTAAAATAATATTTTTACTTATACTTATAAAGTTATACCTTTAACTTTTAACATATTATACTTAATTTATTAGATTTAAAATGTTGTGTATATAAACTATTATCATTTTAAAGCTACAACTTTTGAATAGTTTAGACAAAATACTTAAATTGCTAATTTAAATATGACATTATAGTGTTAACTTAAATATAAATTTCAGTTCCACTTAAAAAATGAACGAATATTTTGTAAATAGTTAAAATTGATAAAATGTAGTGATAAATGCAAAAACTAAATTGTAATCTCAATTTAACTAAATAATTTCCTAAAGATATTATTATAATCGTTAAAATCTTTCAAATAAGTAGCTTAAAATATCTTGCAATAATAATAGTTAAAAATAAATCTATATAAATGATTACATTGTTACCTTTAAAATCAAAAAACAATGTTGGATGTTTTAAATAATTATAATAACAGAATTTAAAACAACAAGCAAATAAATTTTAAAAATTTGATCAACAATAACAACAAATATAAATA